TTTTTTTTAAAATGTTATATAGTCAATTTTTAGATGGATAAAACTAGTTTACAAACCTAAGCCCATTAAGATCAAAGTCTGTTTTTCCCAAAAAAAAAAAAAAAAAAAAAAGAAAAGAAAAAGTTTTTTTCACCTTATTTTCATTTATTTTAAGTGTCTAATAAGTTTAGATAAATTAAGTTCAAAAAAATAATAACTTAATAATAAGGATTATCCAAGTACAAATTACAACTAAAATAAGTTTTAATAAGTTCAGATAAGTGAAAATATGGTGAATAAAATACACCCTTAATTGTTATTTTTTTGACGGGAATTAACTGTCTTTTTTAAAATCTTTGGTTCACATCAATTGCAACAAGCAAACAAAGAGTATTATTTAAGAGACAAATTTTATTTTATTTTTTTATTTTTATTTTATTTTATTTTTAGTTTTTTTTTGTAATTAATGTGAAACAGATATAGAAATTTCCAATGCCCATAAAACTAATACCTTAAGGATACTTTAAAACATAATACTGCGTAACGTGAGATATTTTAATACCAATATTACATTAATATATATGAAAAATCATTGGAAAAAAAAATAATAAATAGATGGACTAAATTGGATTCTATTCAATTGATTGTCAGTTTGCCAGTTCTAAGATTAATATGAACTTATTTAAATTTATTTACAACAAACATTTTCTTTTGAGGGGACATACTTCTAAATTTACTAAACTTGATTTAGTTTAAGCTATAAATTGAACTTGAGTGCCACTTGAGAGTACTTACTAAGCCTTATATGAACTTATTTATTTTGAAATAAATAACATGGTATTATTTCAAGGCTAATTACTTCAGATTCTAAGATAAGTTTAGGGAATAAGTTCACAAATATCATATTTGAATCACATATATACTACGAGTGTGTTCTAGTTAACTGATTTTCACTTATCTAAACTTGTCTTATCTTATCTGAACTTATCTAAATTTATTAGACCTTATTTTATCTGAACTTACCTAAACAAAAGGGCAATATGGTTAAACAAAAGTACGCTATTTTTTTATGGTAAGGAGAAGGATCTTGATCAAATCTTAACCCTCACAGTTATTTTGGTCCAATATTTACAGGTTAGACATTATGAAAAGTGAGGGGGAAGGGTGGGGATCTTTATGTTTAAAATGTCTCTAGTGGGGATTGAACCCCCAATCTCAACGTTGGAAGGTACAATCTTTCCCACTAGATCAAAATTAACTAGGTAAAGTACACAAAATTCATAGGCTATTAATTCAATATGCTTTACAAATTACAATTCATATGAAGGATAATACTCCTTTATGCCCGACTAATATTGTACTTCCTCTGTTTTTAAATACTTACAACACAGTCTTGTGGCACACATTTTGAGGTCGAGATTATATAAGGTAAACGACTAAAATAATCAAAATAGTTTTTTTCGCATGATAACTAATCCTTTTCTAATCCTAGTGTTAAAATTATTTTAAAATTACCTTCACTAATTGTCTCTTAAAACTGTGTACCTAAAAGCTATGTTGCAAGTAAAATAAAATGGAGGAAGCAATATACTCCCTCCGTTTTTTTTAAAGCTACACTTGCTATTTTCGTCCTTCTTTTTAAGAAGCTACACTTTTCTTTTGGAAATCCTTTACAATTTAATAATATATCTTTATCCCACTAATGGTCCATACTCTCTCAATTACTTTATCATTTCGCAGCGCACTTCTCGAATGGTCCTCACTTCCTCTCACACCACTTTACATTTCAATAAAATAATGATACTAGCTACTATACATTCTTACAATTTTTATTACCTTATCTACCCCCTAAGAATTTGTTTTGTTCACCTTATTTTCACTTATTTCAAGTATAATAAGCTCAGATAAGTTCAGTTAAGTTCAGATAAGTTCTTCAAGAAAAATAAGTTCTAATAAGGGTTATCCAAATACAAATTACAACTAAAATAAGTTTTAATAAGTTCAAATTAGTTTAGATAAGATAAAATAAATTCAGATAAGTAAAAATTAGGTAAATAGAACACACCCTAGCACCTTATTTTATTAAACCCCTAAAACTCCACGAAATTCCAACTTTAACCATTAAAAAAAACGAAGGGAGTATATTGGTAGGATTTGCAAGTCTACAAAGTATAATATTCTTTCATTCTCAACTAATATATAGGACTACTATACAAAATGTTTCGTATGTATAGGACACAATATATATATATATATATATATATATATATATATATATATATATATATATATATATATATATATATATATTCCCTCCGTTTTTAAAGCTTTCCAAATATAGAAAATGGAGCAAGTATTTTAAAACGAGGCCGCCCCAATTACTCAACATGAGAAACAAAATTTGTTTCTCAAGAGGTTAAATTTGTAAAATTACAGGTAAAACCGCTAGCTCAAGTAGCGGTTTATGGCAAAACCGCTACTTTTTGCCGATGAACAGTAAAAAAAAAAGTATTTTTATTTACGTCTTTGCCATTTGAGAAACATAGTTTGTTTCTCATGTTGAGAAACTTGGAATTTCTCTTTAAAAATGGCCGAAAACGAAAAGTGGAGCAAGTATTTAAAAACGGAGGGAGTAAAATTTAAACAATTACTTGTATTTCCAAAAAAAAAAAAAAACAAATAAAAAAAGCAAAAGACCCATGATCGCAATCCTTGATTATTCTCCAAAATGTGTGAAATTAGTGAATTTTTTTAGGAAATTCTCATTGGTGGCCATCAAGTTTTGCTAATTATCTTTGGTGGCCAAAAACTTTTTTAATTATCTGAATTAGCCACCTAATACTGTAACTTAGTTAATTATAGCATTAATGACCATTATTAGCCATTTTTCAGAATAATAAGTAACTATGGTTAACTTAAGGTTAATTTTCGAATTTTTTTTTTTAAAAAAAAAAAAAAAAAAAACTTGCCATCAATACGTATAACTCCTCTCTCTCTCCAACATCACTTGCTTTTACTCATATTAATAAACCATCCATTTTCACCATAATTCCAAATTCAAACACTATCTTCTACCTTTCCATCCTTCAACGTTAACCTTAGAACTTGGGTTCAATTAAGATTTTACTTCCGAAATTTGCGACAAAGGTGGAGTAGAATTGGGGTGTTTTTTTTTCACCATTGGAGTATATATTTTTCTAGGTTGCGATTGAATTCGAATTACGGCGTTTGGGTTGTGGTTGAATTGGCAAATAAAGATCCTATCTTTATTGCGTAAAGATTCAGGTATGTACTCTAAGTTTAAAGATCCTATCTTTATTGAGTTATTTGATTTCATGTTCTTGAATTTTAAGTGCTCTGTTATGTGATAGCATGTCGTACTTTTTCGTGGATTATATGTAAAATTGAGTTTTTGTACAATGTTTAATCGGGTTTTTTTTTTTCGTCATATTTTTTTGCATTGAATTGGGTTTTTCGTGAATAGCATGCTGTATTTTTTTGCAATTAAATTGGGTTTTTTTTCCTTCGTATTTTTATGTGCTATGTTAGAATTGAATGTAGGGTGTTTTTGTGGATTATATGTAGAATTGGGGGTCATTATTTTCATAATTGATACAAATAATCTGTTTTGTTGTATCTGCTGCAGAATGAATGACCAAATAGTACTAAGGTTTCATTACAGGGATATGGATACTGATGTGGTAGTACATGATATTGATAAGGTCAATCTCATTGATTTAGTTATTGAATATTGGGAATCAGTTAGAAAGAATGGGAAACCAACACCTTTGAACCCTACCTTTAAATATGTCTTTAAGATGAAACCTTGGGACTTGAATAATGATTCTGATCTGATGAATATGTTCACAAATTTACCTGAAAAAAAGCTTATTTACATATGGGTTGGTGAGGTTTCACAACCAATACCAATAGTAGTGACTGCTAGAACATTGTTGAAAGGACCACAACTTGTAAATGCAGAATGTATAGGTGCATTATTGTTGAATTCAGGGGAAGATGATAAGTGGCCAGACCTAGTAATTTCACTAATCAAACCATCTGATGAAAATAGAAGAGGGAGAGGATGGGTTAGGATTAGGGGGAGGGGAACTTCAAGCATGAGAGGGCATGAAGATGTCTAAGATGAAACTGTAGGCTTGAGGGGCATGAAGATTTCTTAATTAATATTGTGAATGTGAATGAGGATGTAATTGAGGAAGTGACTTTTGATGATCATAGTGGGAGAGGGAGCTCTAGGGGAAGGGGGGGGGGGGAGGGAGAGATAGGGGAAGAGGGAAAGTGACTGATATTATTATAGACATTGAACCTACACCCTGGATAAATCCAACTCCTATTGAGGTTGCTATCCTTACACCTAATGTTGTAGACTTGAACACTAGTACTGGGAGGGGTTCAGGATCAAATGAATTGAACTCATCTAGGGAGTTAGTATCATCCAAGTCCTCACATGTAACTAGGTCACACACAAAAAAGAGGTACCTAACACAACTGCTAGGAGATCGAAAGGGCATGATAATAGAGAAAACTGGAAGTGAGACAAGTTCGGGGGGGGGGGGGGGAGATGAAGCTATAAGGAGGAGAAGGTTGAGGAAAATGAATATTAGTTTGAGCAGTCATGAAGATGTGAATGATGATGAAGACTATAGCGATTTAGAGGATTATAGTGCAACAGAAAATGAAGAATCTGATAATGATGATAATGATAAGAGTTTAGATGAAGAAAATGATTCTGAAGACGAGTATGGTGCAATGGTTCATGATTCATTTGACCCATATGATGGCCCTAATTTTGATGATGATGAGGATGATGGGAAAGACAACTACTTTAACAGGTTGTATAAAAATGGTGAGATTTACATGGATGAGGATTTTGATAAGATAGTATTGATGCCTTGGCAGCTGTTCACAGACAAAGAGCACTTGAAGGATGTAGTCAGGGACTTTTGCATTTAATGTGGATTCTCAGTGATAGTTGACAGAGCAACGAACCAAAGATACACAATCATTTGTTCAGATGCACTGCAATTGGAGGTTGCATGCTTCTATACTCCCTGATGGTAGGACTTGGGCAATCAAGTCAATTCAAGATGATGAGCATACATGTCAAGGTCTGGAAACAAAGAATCCAATAGTGAATGTTAAGTGGGCAATGAAAGTGCATATGGAAGACATTAGGGCCAACAATGATATTTTTGCCAAGTCACTAAACCAGTTGCTATGGTCTAGATATGGTATTCAAATGTACCAAAGCACTCTCTATAGAATGAGAACCAAGGCTCTGGTTGAGATCCATGGGGGACATGATGTATCCTATAGCTATTTGCCTAAGTATGTAGAAGCTATCAAAGTGACAAACCCTAACTTTACAGCAATATGTGCATTGTTTGCAAAAGATCATCTTGAGAGGCCTCTGGCATTTTCAAGCATTTTTATTTCCTTTAAAGCATATGTAGATGGGTTGATGAGTGGTTGTAGAAGTCTAATAGGGTTAGATGGGGCATATCTTAAAGGGAATTATGGGGGTGTTTTATTATCTGCAATAGCTTTAGATGGGAATAAAGAACTATTCCCCATAGCTTGGGCCATTGTACCTAGTGAAGACACTGAATCATGGAAGTTTTTTATATGGCATTTGAAGAACTTTGTGAAAGATAGTGGTAGAGGTGACGAGTGGTGTATCATATCAGATAGTCAAAAGGTAAAATATTGTCATTTATGTACACTTAAATTGATTATGTCATGCATATAGCCTAACATATGTTGAATTTGCAAAATGTGCAGGGTATGGACATTGCTCTTACAGAACTATGGCCTAAATCTGGTAGAAGGTATTGTTGTAAGCATCTTGTCAAGAACTGGAAGTCTAAGTTCCCAGGCCCACTTATGTTCTCTCTTTTCTAGAAAGCATGTGGTGCATACAACCCATTTACATTTTAGGAAGGCCATGGAGGCATTACAAAAGGCAAATTCTGATTCTCTCATTTGGTTATCTAAGGTACAATTTAGTGTTCATAGTGATTTGAATCATGGACATGAATTTATAGTGTATTTACTTAATTACTTAACAATGCATAAGGTGGGAGAACAAAGCACATGGTCCAAACATGCTTTTAATCCAGCAATCAAGTTAGATGTCAACAAGAGCAACTTTGTTGAGAGTTTTAATGCAACCCTAGGTGTGGCTAGGTGTAGACCAATCCTCACATTATTGGAGGGTAAGTTAAGTAACAAGCTTAAGTGATTGATATTGTTTGTTTATAACACTACTTATATATGCATGACCCTAAATGCAGGGATAAGAAGGGTGATTATGGTGAGAATGGCAACAAGAAGAGATTTGTCAAAATTGGGAAAGAAATGACTTGTGCCCTAATATTATCAAGAGGCTACATGTGGTTGCACAAGAGTCTAGGACATGTCAATGCTTATTATCTGGTGAAGGAGAGTATGGAATTCTTGATGGCAAGTCAGTTCTGCCAGTTAATCTGAATCAATGGACATGTGTGTGCATGCTTGGCAATTATGTGGCATTCCATGCAAACATGCTATGAGGGAAACTCTACATTCCAAATTAGATCCACACAATTTTGTCTCTGAGTGGTACTCTGTGAATAGGTACAAGTTAACATATGAAAATAACATAAAGTTAATTCCCGACTTAGATCAGTGGCCTGAAATGGGGTTACTAGATAGACCAGAAATTAATCCTCCAGGTATGAGGAGAGGAGTGGGAAGGCCAGCAAGGAATAAGAGAAGAGATCAAGATGAGCAAGTGAAGGGAAAAAGGTCAAAGACTGTCGCGTGTAGCAATTGTCAGTGCTATGGGCATAATTCTCAGACATGCCAGGGTGGTCTAACTAGAAAATAGAAGGCTATTGGTGCCAATGTTGTGCAGTACAAAAGGAACCAAACCTATTTGAAGACTGCAGCTGGACCAAGTCAGACACACTCTCAACTAAGCCAATTACAACTCACTCAATCTCAACCAAGTCAGAGTCAGCTAGGTTCTCAACCCAACACAGGTCAACCAAGTTCATCTCAACCTAAGAAGAGGAAGTCCAAAGCAACATAAATTTAAATCAAAGATGTGATCTGAGCATGATATTTTGACTATGTTGTCCTTTTTTGTGTGATATATTTACATTTGGGCAACTTATGTACTACTTTTTATGGTGGCATTTTCATTTAGAATTTTTTTTTGGAAACAGTTAATTTCAATTATGGTGTTTTTTTTTGTAACATTGAAACAATTTGGCTTATTTGAACTTTATATATAATATACAGTAATAAGTTCTTGATTATTTAGCCTACATTGATATATAGAAAAGTACAACTTAAAATGCTATATTACATATTGTTACTCTTCTAATTTGTCATACTAGCTAAACCATAATGGGAGAGCAGTTGCATCGCCTGAAGCCATGAGAGGAGTATAAGAATGGCAGAGAAGATGAATGGTTTCTCTTATTTAGGGTTATATAAATAAGGGAAAATTATTTTGGAGGGAAAAGGATGGTTACAGATTGGAGGGAAAGTAAGAAGTAAGGGTGTAATAGTAATTGTATTACTTAACTTAACCATAGTTACTTATTATTCTTAAAAATGGCTAATAATGGTTATTACTGCTATAATTAACTAAGTTACAATATTATGTGGCTAATTTAGATAATTAAAAAAGTTTTTGGCCACAAAAGATAATTAGCAAAATTTAATGGCCACCAATGATAATTTCCCAATTTTTTTTTGGCTCCATTACTTTCCAACTAAGAATCAGTTACCTTTTTTTTTCACTTATTATTGATTTTCTTCTTTTCTACTCGGCTACACTACTGGTTCCTCAATCGGTTTGATGACGTCAAAGTTGTCGTTGCTCTCCGAACTCCACTCGTAAGTCACCATTGGCCCTTTTTACCTCTTAATTGAATTTGTTATTCTTTATAATTGGCTAATTTTGATATTAGATTGATTGATTACTGCTATATATGAAGTATTGCTGTAGTTTGTTTTGGATTTTTGATTATAGTTAAACACCTTTAAATTTCATTGATTATACCTGAATTATAGGCTGAAATTTAGTTTCCCTTGGCTCGTATGTATAATGTATTGCTGTTGATTAGGGGGTTTTCCCCGCCCAATCAGTGTACGTCACGTGGACCAATCAGGTCCTGTCAAGTGTCCTCCATTTGGACCTCTCAGGGCCTGTCACGTGGCACACAACCATTTGTCCACCCTGGACCAATTATGCCACGCCAAGTGGCCTGCTGTTTGCCACCTAGGAAAATGGCCACCTAGGCCCACTTTCCGGGAAATGCCCAATCAGCTCTAGGTTGACCTAAACCTAGAGTTAGGCACGCTTCCTAAGACTATAAATACATTAATTAATCCTCATTAAAGGGGATTCAGCAATTAATTACCCTCACCTAGAGAAGCCAAAACACATTGATCACTCCTCACCTTGAGGGACCAGATCTCCCACCTTTACTTTTCCGCACTTATTAATCCTCAAATAAGTACTAACTTGACCGTCGGAGGCGGAGCTCCCACCATAAGGAGTCTCCGTTGTTTTGCAGGTACAGGCGCAAATATACCAGTCCCGGAATTGTAACTCTCCCGCAGGAAATCAGAAAACCCCGAAACATTTTGGCGCCGTCTGTGGGGAAAGTAATTTCGAGATGGCATCACAGTCTGTACCGAATTAAAGCGAGAAGCATCCTATGGACGACCCTCAGGTCTATAGTGACCAAGATACTGACAATGAGGTCGAGGTCGAGACTCACACGGCCCCAGACGGGACCTTAAGAGCTCGACGAACTTGTTCCTCCGAAAAGAAGGAACGACAGGATTACCTTGCTGGATCTAGTAAACCTGCCGGCCAGTCGCTTGATCATCAACAGGCGGCCGAGGGATCTGCCCCCATCACTAGAATTGAGCTCATGACTTTCATGAATAATTTCAAAGGGGAGATCCAGGATCTCATCAATAAGAAGACGCCTGCTCCATCCAAGGAGCAGTCGGCTAGAAGACCCTCCCAGTCTGGGAGGAAGAAGCTTGTAAAAGATCGTGAGGCGACACCTTACCCAAAGCCTGGGGCAAGGCAGCCGCCAGTGATCGACCTAATGAAGTATCACTTTCCCTCACCAGGAAAGAGAAAGCCCATCCGTTATATTCAACCGGACGGGTCAAAGCGAACATACTCTAATGCTTGAACGTTGTTAGAGCAGAAGAAGAGTGATCGACTGTCAGAGTCGGCCTCAACGTCTGATTTTCAAGACAGTTTACACAATACCTCCTTGAGGTATTCGAACTCAAATTATGAGAGCCAGACAGGCGGTTCCTCCCACCGGTCCGGCTCCAGAAGAACCAGGCGGCACCGCATGTGCCACCCCAGCCATACGTGCGGCAACCTCAATATTTCATGCAGCCTACTCTGTTTGGAGGACATGCGGCAAGAAACGTCCATCCTTTGGACTGGCAACTTAGATTGCTTAGACTTGGAGAATAGCCGTCCGCCTTCTCCAAGGAAATAATTGAGGCCGCCTAGCCGGCCAAAGTGAAGAATGTGTTGGTAGGAGCCTATGATGGTACTACAAACCCAAAGGATCATCTAATGGCATTCACCAACCTTATGTACCTTCAAGGGTTGGATGGTCCCACATGGTGTAAGTGCTTCCCAGCCACATTAAAGGGCATTGCTCAACAATGGTTTGGCACCTGCCGACTGGTTGCGTAAACAAGTTCAAGACCCTGGCCTACTAGTTCATCTCCAATTTTGCGATGAACATTCTGCTAAGAAGACGACCCTTGACTTGGGGACAATACAGTAGGGAGAGAAGGAGGGACTCCGTTCCTACATCAGGCGGTTTAACCTGATGAGGATTCAGATACAAGGGCTGCCGAATGAAGTAGCCTATACTGATTTTTTCAGAGGACTTAAGGACGGGTCGACCTTCAAATTTGACCTTGTCAGAAAGAGGGTGACCACCCTCCAAGAGGCCATGATGGAGGCGGATGCCTATATTTAGGCAACCGACCTCTGTAATACTGGGAAGCAGTCGGACAACAAGAGTCCCGACAAAAGAGAAAACCGATAAAAGCAGTCGTCCAATAAAGAAGAGAAAAAGAGAAAAGAAATATGGGCGGCCGACTCCTCTGAACAGCCGTCCTAGAAAAAAAAGAAAGAATTTAAACCATACTCTCCCAAGTATGAGTTCAACAAGGATAGCCATGCTATCCTAAATGAAATCAAGGGCCGGATTTCAATTGAGAAACCGGCCGCCATGAAAGGTTCGGTTAGCAATCGGAACCAAAGCAAATTCTGCCATTTTCATGAAGACATTGGTCATGAAACCATGAGTGTATAAGCCTCAAGCATTTTCTGCACCGCCTGGCAGAAAAAGGTGATCTTGACTCCTATGTCCAGATGTCTAATGGGAATGCTCCTCCCAAACAGAAATAGGCGGCCAAGAAGAAGCCCTGGTCGGCTGACAGTTCTGACACTGACGACGCCGTCGCCTATACTATAGCAGGCGGCTTCGCAGGAGGCGGCCCCATTATCAGGGGCAACAAAGACAACATTAGGAGGTTAGATGTTAATTCCGTTAACCAAGGACGTACCTCCAAGAGTTCATTCCCAGAAATTGTCATCACAGAGGAAGATTTGGGAGGCGTTAGGGGGCCGCATGACGACCCCATTGTTATTGAATGTAAAGTGGCCAACCAGAGAGTTGGCCGGATCCTCATAGACACCGGCAGTTCCTCTGATCTAATCAGAAACAAGTGCTTGGCAAAGCTCAAGTACAAACCTGACTGCATACATCCGGTATCTCACCCTTTAGTGGGGTTTGGTGGAACCATCGTACACCCAGTGGGACGGGTGGATCTACCCATCCGTCTGGGTGAGAAAGGGGAGGGCCGTCACATGGTGGTTCGGTTCTTAGTTGTTGAAGAGCTCTCGGCCTATAACATGATCTTAGGGCGACCCACCTTGAACAATTCCAAAACTATCATCATTCCATCTCTCATGCTGCTCAAGTTCGAGAAGGATGATGGAACAGTCGGCTCCCTAAGGGGAGACCAGAAAATGGCATGAGAGTGTTACCTCTCGGATATTAAACCCACTGTGGCGACTGCTGGCCCAAGTGGAGAGACAAAGGACCTTGAACAAATCAAGGAGGATGCGCCTGCCCAAGTGGCAGGCGGCAAGAAAAGAAAGGCTGCCCCGCTGGAGGCCGAAAGAAAGGAAAAACGATAGAAATCATTGGCCGAGGAGCGGTCAAACGAGTTCCGCCCTCAGCCGGCTGGTGAACATGTGGATGTCGTCCTAGACGACTCACGCCCTGAGCGAACAGTTAAAGTTGGGACGACTGCTCTTAAGGCACTTGGTGATGATTTTCACCAACTCTTGAAGGAATTCAAGGATATTTTTGCATTTGAAGTACACGAGATGCCAGGGTATAAGTCCAGACTTGGCAGTGCATAAGTTAGCTGTGGATCCGAAAAAGAAGCCGGTCAGGAAAAAGAAATGGAACCATGGTGAAGAAAGAAGCCAGGTGGCTGCCGCCGAGGTTAAAAAACTACTTGATGCAGGGTTCATTCGGCAGTGTTATTTCCCTAACTGGGTTGCAAACGTTGTACTCGTGAAAAAGCCGAATGGTACCTGGCGCATGTGTGTGGACTACACAGACTTAAATAAGGCGTGCCCCAAAGATAGTTATCCATTGCCCAAGATCGACAGACTAGTCGACTCTACAGCCGGCCACGCCTTAATGAGTTTCATGGACGCCTACTCTGGTTTCCACCAGATTCCTCTATGGAAGAAAGACCAAGAGAAGACGGCCCTTGTCATAGACCAGTGCCTATATTGTTACACGGTCATGCCATTTGGTCTAAAGAACGCCTCGGCCACCTTCCAGAGAATGATAAACACTGTGTTATTTGATCAAATTGGGAGGAACGTCGAGGCGTACATAGTTGATATGATTGTAAAGTCTAAACTTAAGACGGACCATCTGGCGGACCTCCGAGAAACATTCGCCACACTCAGGCGGCACCTAGTCATGCTCAATCCCAAGAAGTGTGTTTTTGGAGTTGAGTCTGGGAAGTTTCTCGGATTTCTTATCAATCAAAGGGGTATAGTGGCTAACCCCGAGAAGGTGCAGGCGGTCATAGACATGCAGTTGCCTCGCACTGTGCGAGAGGTCTAGAAATTAACAGGTTGTCTGGCGGCCTTGGGAAGATTTCTCAGCCGGGCAGGCGATAAATGCCTCTATTTCTTTCAGGCAATTAAAAAGAAAACTATGTTTGAGTGGGGGCCGGATGATGAG